CAGTAGATAGCACTATTTAAGCAATAGCGAAAATCAGACCTGAAAAAAATCAGGCCTGTACGGGATTCGAACCACTGACCTCTGCGATACTAGTGCAGCGCTCTACCAATTGAGACTCTTAATATAGTTTTCATTTCATTTAGCTAAACTTTGAATAATTCCAAACCACAACACACACATTTCAATATAAAGCAAACAATAAAATTCTAATTGAACAGTAAAGGAATACAAGTAAGGTTTAATATAAAACAACAGAAATAAAAAGTTACCTGATACCATAACGAATTGAGTGGCTTGCTGAGCCAGAAGAGAGGCAACACCCACAAAGCACCAAACAAATATGATAACAAAGGTCCCATCCATCTCCACAGCCATAAACCCTGATGGGGGGCACTTCCAACCAGTGTATCTGTGGTCATTATATATTTAACAGCTATTCACTGAAGTGGAGGTGGTTAGTGGTAGATATTTATTGAGCCACGAAGCGGCGAGGTAAATATCCACAGCTAACCACCAACACTGAGGTGCATAGTTGTTTTAGTATATACTAAAACAGTGAGATAATACATACCCCCAACAATTGATTTGAGTGATTTCTTCGCTTGTCACGGATGCAAACCGGGACGCCATTTTTTCCCGAGTTGCTCGGAGGTAAATAGCAGAGGATATTCAGAGTTTGACTAGCCAATCAGAGCATGCCTTCAACGCTATCCATTGTTTTAGTATATACTAAAGATGCATATTCAGTCCATTAAGAGATGAACTCATAACCAATGATCATTCAATACTCATTTAAAAAAGTAATAAAAATAATACTCAAGCTCTGATTGGCAAAAATTAGTTTTAGTAATAACCAAGTGGCCCATCCAGCCAGTCAGAGCTTGTCACAGATTCTGTGGTAGGAAATGAGCAAGAGTATTGTCACAGTCCCCCTCCCCCTCCCCCCCCATTGGTAAGCCGGTCCATCACAAGGTTATCCCCCTGCATTTCATCAGGCTTCCCTAACAGTATACCAGTACCCATTTGTATTTTTTTTCTTAACACGTTCAACTTTATAAATAACTCATAAGCATTTCAATGTTTAACCAAAATGTTTCTTGGAAACTATCATTAAAATAACAATGCTTAGTTTGATATGACAGAAAAAAATTTTAAAAATTGGCCCTCAAAAGTCTACCTTACCCTTAAAGGGATGGGCATCTCATTGTACAGAAATCTTAAATCCTTGATTCTGATTGGACCAAGAAAATTACATTACCACACATATAGATCTATAACCATCCAGCAAGGAAAGTAAATTGTACTTCTTCAGTTAACAGAGAAAAAAATTAAAGTACTTACTGAATATAAAGTGAGTAAAAAATTGTAGTCCAGGAAGGATATAATTCTCAAAGAGGAAAATACTCATCTGAAAGAAAAAGAAAGGAAATATTTTTTTTTTAGAATTTTTTTTAGAATTTAGAATTTTAATTTATTTGCCATGCGAATGGCAGGAGAAAGGAACAGAACTTTCATCCCAATTGACACCTAACCCCTTTGTAACCCACCCATCCCACCTTAGGGGAGGAAATCCATCACACAGTAATCTCATGCGTGGGAAATTAATGTCTCCTACCCCTAACCCTGCAGGAGACGGGACTTCCATTTATTCATCCCTATGCAAGAAGACTTGAATATCTAACCATTTCTTGATGTTATAGAAAGGTAGCATATTTTTCTCAATTATTTTAAGACCTTGAGTGTTGGTCCGGCCAGGGCTCGAACCCTCAACCTCCCGCACAACAGTCCAGCGCTCTATCCATTGAGCTAACTGGGAGGCAGTCAATTTCAATAAACCTCTCAGTACTGCACATAGGTTTCATTGATAATAACCATCCACCCAGCCAGTTTCATTGATTTCATTGGTCTCATTGATCACAAATACCTAAAAACTAGGATCAAAATATTTGAGCTGTCCAGAAGGGTGACATAAGGAGTGGCTGCATAGCTGAGGTCTGGGAAAGGATTCAAAAGTTTAATTTGTATGAAGCGGTTGTTCAGACACTTGTTCTTAATGAAAATTCTCCTTTTGTACCAAGCCTCTTTAACCTTGGACCCTTGAGCAGTTTTCTTTCAGTCACCAGTTTTGAGGGAATTGATGTGTGCGCAACCAGTGGCCTGTTAACCTTTACCCTACATTTGACTACATTTACACATATATTTTGCAAGTGTTTTAGCTGTCAAGTCAAAAGCAGGCTACCTTACATAACACTTACTTCTTTTGGCAACTGCAGCACAGCTTATTCTACAAACTGACTGGGTGGATGGTTATTTTAGCATAGAGTCCCCAGTATTGAAAAACAGGGCAACAAAATTGTTACAATAGTTCTCGCATAAATTAATTCATCTTAACATTTCCTTATTCCCTACCCAAAACTCTTTGATTTCCATTTGATGCCTTATACCCCCTTTATTCATGTCACACATCTCTATTTATGTTTACAGTGTCCCCTTCCCTTCACAAATCATGCATAATGAAAAAGTCACTGTGGAATGGTTCTCATAAATGGAAATCACCCACACATGTGCTTTAAAAATTAGACAATGTTACAGTATCAAAAGAGAGAAGACATGCTTTATTTGAAGCTCCGTCATAACAATCTTTTATGGCATTTTCACAAAAATGAGAGTTGACAAAAATCTGAGTTTTCCATGAGAACTAAGAAGCCTCACACCTTCCAATTTTGCACTCTGATGCTCAGCCACAGAAAAATCAGGGGTGACTGGTGCCATTGCTGGATTCATTAGTGAACATACTGCAGTCTCCAGTTGTTGAATTCAGTGAAAGCTGCATTACTTACCCAAAATATTCCACCATTTAACATGCAGCACTGCAACATTTTGCTGTAAATATCTCTAGCTCCTGCAGATCTAAATATATTCCAGCCGAAATATAAACATATAAAGAAATCAACCACAAATGCTGCGAATTTAGCATAATTAAAGTTGTATACATTTCGCATACGTGACAAGAAATGAATAATAAAGGACTTTTTGGTAAGACGGGTACCTAGCTTAGTATTCACAAAATCGATCAAATTTCATTGAAATGAAATATTGTATATACGTTTTTCAAATAGCTAAAACTTAACTTCGGATAGCTCCAAGACAAGCTCAACCTTGATCTCGGTTGAATATCGTCATTTAGCAAATAAATATTAACACCAGCTTACATGACTATAATTGCGTACAGCCCTGAAAGGTTTTCTAATATTTGTCAAAGTAAACTCTATCTACAGGACTGACCAGAAATAAAATGCAACTAATACAACTTTTTCACACTAAACTTGACTTTATGAAACATTCCTGTTGAACTTCACCGGCTTGAAATTATATTTCTTTGGCAATTTATCAGTACGAATCATATACCTATCGGCCTTTTTATCCAGGTCATTTTGCCTTCCTCTTAGCCTTGTTCTTCGCGAGGACTGCGTATCTGTTTTAAATTGGTCTTCCGTTTGTTTTTCCTCTAGAATGCTGTTCAATCTTAGCAGCACAGTCATTCCAAGTAGAGAATCTTTCAATCCATGACCGATACCAAGAACTATTGGTCTTAATTCGCTCATATTTCCCGTGCAATCTTACATACTTTGTTATTATTTTTTTTGAAAAGTCTTTTCCAGTTCCCCACCGTAAGCTTGGTAGCCTCGCTGCGAGTTTGAGTGTCCAGGTCTAGGCCTGGACACAAACAGAAAGTTTCTCCAAGTAGTTTCTAGATACCTAGCTAGACACTTAAAACAGTGCGTTTGTCTAAATAAAAACACATTTTCGTTGGAAAAAGCACGTATCGCTGAGTTGAGATGAATCGCTTGTGCATTAGAAAGTCTAAAAAGAAGAACTGAGCTATTCAGCGGTCTTCTTCATGTCGGACTGAAGACCTCACTGAGCAAGGAAAAGATCACAGTGCTTTGAAGAGAACAAGATTTTAGGCGTTACAGACCGAACAATATAATTTTGGTCAGTAACGCCCATACCATGAGAATCTAAGAGGAAATGACAAATTCCGCCCCTCAATAACTTAAAAAAAGCATTTGGTCTCAATGTGCGGTCCCTAGTGAGCTTGTGCTGTTTATTTATTTATTTATTTATTTATAAACTTCGCCAAAAACAATTTGGCAGGAGAGATCTCACAGAACTAATGTTCCAGAAACGAGACTCCTAAACAATCAAACAAACAAAACAAAAGAAATTACAATTGAGTAGTAGGAATTGATATTATATGATTAGAAACAGGTAATTAACAACAGAGTTTGGCTAGTAATGCAGTTACTGGTCTGCTGATATGACATTTTATGCAGACATTGTTGTCTGATTGGATAATAAAACTCACAAACTTCACGAGCTGCGTTACCGA